ATGTCGGTCCCATAGTCGTTTTTGTCAAAACTGAGTTTTTCAATGCAAATGGTAGCAAACTACCCATATTTTCATAATACTGGATGAACTTATCAACTTTGTTCTGACAAAGTTTGGAAAGACAGTCACATTGGTTGTCCCATCACATAAGAAGCAATCGTACGAAGCAAACTTAAAACGCGATTTTCTCGGCTTGCCGATTTTCGCTATGGGACGGACATGCGAAGAGCTGCAGTATATAGATATGAACACGTCGTTTGCAAGAAATCGGCGATCGAAGACCAGTTTCAGTTGCATTGTTATGAAGTTTGATTCTAATGTAACGTTTGGTTCTGTTGTCATTGGATGTATTCTGATGTTTTATGCGAGCAACAAATTACATCGTGATGAAGTTTGATTCTAATGTCGTTTTCGTTTTTACTACACTACACCGGTGTAGTGTAAGCAGCAATAAGTGCGAGTCATTGACAGTTCATCATCACTTCTTTGTAAACAAAGGTGCAACCGATAGCTACACCCTAATTTTTTTCGGTGTTCGGCAGTGTAGCACCGGTGTAGCTACACCGCAAAAACGAAAACGATATAATGTAACGTTAGGTTCTGTTGTCGTTGGATGTATTTTGATGTTTTATGCGTGCAACAAATTACATCGTGATGAAGTTTGATTCTAATGTAACGTTAGGTTCTGTTGTCATTGGATGTATTTTGATGTTTTATGCGTGCAACAAATTACATCGTGATGAAGTTTGATTCTAATGTAACGTTAGGTTCTGTTGTCATTGGATGTATTCTGATGTTTTATGCGAGCAACAAATTACATCGTGATGAAGTTTGATTCTAATGTAACGTTAAGTTCTGTTGTCATTGGATGTATTCTGATGTCAAAGTTTACATCGTCAAGACGTTTGATTCTGATGTAACGTTTGAGGCTAATGTATTTATATGTACTTGGACGTCACACTGAAGTTTGAATACATTAAGGGTACAGCAATACACGTTAAAATTTAATGTATTGAAGATGTCTGCTGATGTTTCCTACATTACAATTTCTATTCGGGGACCAATAGTTTCGTGTATAGCAAGTTGCAGTTCTTTACATTTCCGTGACAATGCGAAGCATTTCTCTGGAAAAGCGCAAACAGATCGTGCACAAATGGTAAACTATACCCATTTTCTTTTAAATATCATTATTAAGGAGACTTTCAGCCCAACCTCCAACATTTCTCTGAGTAAATTAGTGAAATTGGAAGGTGTAAACATCGGAGCCGTTCGAAACGCGATTCGGAAGTATAGTGATGAAGCAACTAAAAACAAGCCGCATCCGTCAAACCGAGGGCTCGGAAGCAGGGTGGCCAGATTGTTTTTTTCATTATCGGTAGCTTCTCAAAACTTTTATCGGTAGTTATCGGTAGGCTGTCTGAAGAAGGCTTTCCTGATACTTGAAACCTTTGTGAGCGGAGGGGGGGGGGGGGGGGGTGTAACTGTCTTTCAGTTCTTCTGCTTTAAACGCGTCGAAATCAATATAAATATTTTTCAAGATTACTAAAAATCTGTGATTCTCGGTAGGAAAAGTGAAAAATCGGTAGTTTTTAACCTTTTGTCTGTGAATCGGTAGTCATATCGAAAATCGATAGGACTACTGATAAATCTGATAATCACCCTGCTCGGAAGTTATAGAGCTTTCTGACGTTTAATTGGCGCACCGTTCATTCATCCATGTATGCTAGATAGAGAAAGACTATTAAACGTTAAAAAGGTTTATACGACCAGTTGCTGTGCGGAAAATCGGTGTTCGAGATTATGGACGTAGAATAATACGTTAAATTTTATTACAAAACGCTTCCTAGTGATCAGTACTACACCGTTCGCGATGGCCGAAGTGTTGACGACGCGGATAAGTCGTTTTTTTCCGAAAAAAAAACGGAAAAAAATGCTATGGGCAAGCCATTTGTGAGTGTGGTATGCTTTCCAAACTGTTTGTGACAACGGAGACAATGACAACCGATGTTTAAGTGCGTGAGTGTTCAAACAAGCGTCTGTTACCCATGATCCGCAAACATGACGCCACACTGCTGTTTTGGCAGGATTTGGCGTCGGTTCATTACTCCAAGGACACGATAGCCTGGTATAAAGCCAACAAAGTCCAATTCGTACCCAAGGAGATGAATCCACCAAACTTTCCCCAGGCCAGGCCAATCGATATAAAAATCGTATTTGCTGTAAACAAAGTTACGTTATCGTTTTTTTTTTTTTCAAATCGTGCTTAGACATTCTGCAACACCCTATATTACTAACAACACGTTGATATTTGAACTTTTTTTTAATCTCTTACAGGTCCAAGTTGTGCTTCAAATACATAAACCAAAAGTTGTATGACTACAATGCGTGTACATTCAAATATGTATCAGAGTAGTACAAGCATATCATTTATCGCTATTAACATATAAAAAACGTGTAATGCTCAATAAATGAAAGAATTCCTAGGGCCCATTAAAATGTTACGTAAGGCAACAATACTATCCACCCCTACATAACGTACTTTTTTTATACTTAATAGAAAGGTTTGCAATACGACTTCACCAACCAGCACTTGACATACTTTCCTAAACAAATTCCACATGCACGGCCAATGATAACGACTCAAAATTGAGTAAGAGTTACTCATATTTGAGTTTAGTTATTTTTTTTTTTTTTTTTTTTGAGGATTGAAGTAAAAACCACTCCGTGCATTATTTGAACTTTTGTGGTACCCGTATTTGTTGTTTGTATCATGCAAATCGACCACTATTTAACGAGTAGACAGCTAATTGCCTGGACACATCTTTTCCCAGTCCGGTATAATATGGTTTATAAAACCAACTACATTTCCATGATTTGCAGACTAAATATCACTAGGTTGTAAGCCAATACTTCCAAGAAATTTGGATCTACGCTTATTTAATGCACCACAACTGCAGAATAGATGTTCCGAGGTTTCACGTTCCAAATTACAGAAACGACAGATATTACTCTGAACCCGACCAATCTTCTTAATGTGATATCTACTAGGACAGTGCTCAGTTACTAGGCTAGTGTATATACTAAGAGTTCTTTTATTGAGCTCTATGAGCTTTTTGGTGTATGTTATATTAGGAGTTATAAATCTTTTCGACTGGTTGCAGTTTGTGCATCTGCAATTGGCCATCACCCTTTGCTCTTCCCAGCATTTGAGTTCCATTTTTACCGTACAGTATGATATTCCACAGTATGGTTCGCTTGAAACACCTTTGGAAAATGTCCCATCGCAACTGAAATATTTGTCCCGGGGTCAAAGATTCCTGCATCTGTTCATATTCCAATTTTTGAGCCATCTGTGAAAAATATGATTGAGCCTTGACGAACGTTAGGACCACCAGTTTCCCAATCCGAACGTGCCGTTTCACATACGTTGAAGGGAATTTCATAGTTGTCTTCTGGTTTCATCCAGTCTCCATTCATACTCATCACTGGTCCTCTTTGGAAGTATTGTAAGATGCTTAGATGACCAACAAGATCAACTGACATTACCTTTTTAGCTCTTTTGAGCCTTAGAGCCCTTCTTTCCACTTCTAGTTGCACATGTTCATGCAAGGGCAGCAGATTGAGGATTGCTTCTAATGCTTTTGATGGGGTGCTACGCACCGCACCCATTATTGCAATGCATGTTAGACGTTGAAGTTTTGCTAGCTTCCTCTGTGCAGTAGCCTCTTTTGATTTTGGCCACCACACTAACGAAGCATGAGAGTTCAGGTTACTCAAATTCGCGAAATCTTAGGTCACTCATAGATTGAGTAAATTTTCCGACGCTTTCCCGAGAAAAACTTCTCGAATATGAGGAAAACTGATTGTGGTTTTAATCTGTCTTCTAGTACACTTTTAACCTGTGTACAATTTTCTTAATTTTTCCCATATCCGAGAAGTTTTCCCCAGGAAAGTGTCGGAAAATCAAATATGGGTAGCATTTTTTGTCCATGTGCGATTGGTTTGGAAAGTAATTATTTTTCTAAATCAGTTGGAATAAACTCACGCCGACCCACGCCGCCACGCCACCGCCGTCGAAAGCAAACGGCGTGACGCTGCCACGCCGCCGCCGCCGGCAGAAAATAACATATCACGCCGCCGCCGAAAATATTTTGATCGGCGCACAGGTCTAGCTGACACCTGTCAGTTATTGAGCCCTGGTGGTGAAGTTGGTGGGGAACTTCAAACAGTTTCAATGTGCACTCACCAGATGGCACTGTGATCACATAAGAGTTGTGTATCCATTGCCTTGTTCGAGGAATTGATTAGTGGGATATCTTGTTAATAAGGTATCTTTGCTTCCTGCTCATTCGATTGCCGTCAATGGCCGATTGGCACTAGATTAAGATTGCGGAACAGAGACCGACGTTAAATAAAGGAATGAAGAAGAAGAAGAAGAACGTTTGGTTATGGTGTTTGTTTTCTCATGACCATGAGGCCCAAAATTAATGAATGGTACAAGCGTACAAGCAAGGACACGAGGGGCCTTATTGGGGAAGTCGAAACGAAGCGTTTTCCGTTTGATAAGTCTTAAAAGCTCAGTTTCCGCTATTTTTTTGTTTACTTTGTTAGGTTGGTAGCATTGAATATAATGCATTTAACAGTCGGATTATTAGGACAACCTCGCTAATCCAGCCCCAAATTTGTAAAAATACAGTACAATTCCATTGGTAGCTAAAATGTAGTGAATGCAATAATGATTTGAAAACAAAGTTAAGTTGTCCTAAGGGGTATCTTCAAAATTGATAAGTAAGCCATTAACTTGATCGCATAATTTCATCATCGTCACATCTTATTCAAAGTCAGAGAGTAGCTTTTCTAATCTCAAATTTTAGTTCCATTGTGTACAATTACAATAAAAGTCCTTCCATTGTGGAAGTTGATGTGCTATTTTCTATTGTTATCTAGCAAACCACAGTTAATAATTGAGTGATCTCATTCAATTAATAATTTAAAATTTGTCTTACATACTGAATGAAGCTAAAAGGTATTACATATCTCTATTTTTTCGGTTCTTCCTTCGGTGCATCAGGGTAAGTGTTTGGGAAACCTAAATAGTAATCCGCTATCCGACCAGCTTCTCGCAGACCACTTAGCAATGCTCCATGAACAGTGGCAGGATAGTTGCGTATGGTGTGCTCACCAGCGAAGAACAACCGTGGAATGTCCGTTTTGCTACCATCGTCATCATCATTCCCATTTGTACCAGAATGCGATCCTCCATTGATACCGCCCAGGCCTCCAACGTCGCATCCACTAAACCGTGGCGTTACGGGTGCCGCCAGAAGATCATAATCGCTTCCTGACGAACCAACCGAAACAAAACTGTATGATCCACGGGCCCAAGGATCCGCTCGCCAACGGGTGACGACGGTTTCCTTGGGTTGTGGAACGGACGAATTGCCGAATATACCTTTTAGCACAGCAATGCACCGACCTGGGGAATAGGAAGGATAAAAAGATTACTCAAACAGGACTTGCAACAATCTGGACCTAACTTGCCAACGATGACGTCGTCGGAGACGTTCTCCATGATGGCTGCTGATTGACCGGCGACAAGTGCCAACAAAACAGGCGACTGCGAGATATTCCAAAACAGGAACAACTCACCTCGGCTAGCGGTGGTACTTCCAACGTGCCCGAACAAATTGGTATTGGGATCCCAGAAGATCCTATCGAAACAAAGCACTACTTTGTTGAGATTTCCAAAGCCCAACCGTTGAATTGCTGATTGTTTCCACTCTGGTAGTGGTGGATCGAACCGGACGGTGTTCAATTGTGAGGATTGCTCTGAGATTGCCACTTTGAGAACGCCCAGCGTTAACGTGCACAGTACGAGGTCAGCCTTGTAAGAGACTGAAGAGTTGTTCGATTTGAGATCTGCCGTCACTTCGACTCCTCCAGGGAAATACTTGATACGTTTTACCGCCGTATTGACTCGGACATCCAGTCCTTCGGTTAGTGCGATTGGAACGCAAGAGTAACCATTCTTTACGGTGGTATGATTGCCGATGAATTCAAAATCATCATCTTGGTCCCAATGTTTCAGCGAGAGATTACTCAACGGAGTAGCATTGGCAAACTCTAGGTTGGCAAAGTGCCAATCTAGGATTTGACGATCCTTGGAGGAAAGATAAACCTCGCTGACTTGATCGTTCTCGAGCTCCTTCAGTTTGGTTTCGATCTTTTCCTGACTAGAGCGAAGCAGTTCGATTTCCTTCCAAGCGAGTTGTTCCTCCCGTGCCGTCAAGCGAATACTGAATTCATGCTCTATGTATTTGCTATCAATTTCATTCGGTTTAGCTGGTTTCGTTTCAATGAGTTCTTTATGTTTTGTGCGAAGGCTTTTAATTCGATCCATCGTTTCTTTGATGGAGTTTTGGTTTTCAATCAATTTCTGCTGCCACAAGATTATGTTATTCAAATGTTGAACTTGCTTTTCTTTAACATGCTTTTCCTGAAGCTTGATGATCCATTCGAGGGCTTGTCCTAATGAAACGGGATGATTCCCAGCGTAATTGAAATCAAGTTGATGCGAGAGGTAGCTCGTGGCTTCTAGTAGCCGATTGAACTCCCGTTCCACCATATCGTCCTTGTGTTTAGGTACAGGTTTCCCTCCAGATCCATACAACGGGCATGCTGTTTTGATAGGACACATCTCCATCCCTGTTTGCTGACTTAAGATTGTGATTGGATTGCCCCAAATACCAGTGACCACCATTGCTCCCAAGTCCGCAGTATAGGAATTCTTACGAAATGTGGCAATTCTTCCTCCTACTCTGTCCCTTGCCTCGAGAACAATTACATCGAATCCAAATTGCTGAAGTTGTTGTGCAGCCGATAGGCCAGATATTCCTGCACCAATGACAATAATTTTTGCCAGCTTTTTAGTCGGTATCGGTTTCAAGCGCTTAAATATCCCGAAATTTATGAACCCATGCCTTTCTAAAAATGCGTGCACCTTTCGCACCAAATTCGGATCGCTATCGAAAGGCTGTTCAATATTTTTCAGTGCATTTTCGACAGTCAACTGCAAGGTAGGATTCTCAATCCACATTTGCAGTATACGATTGCGTACGTTCAGGAACACCCGTTGAGCTACAAGGCCATGTTTGGTAATTTCAGGGAAGCAAACCGCTTCTGAGGCAGTCATCTTTTCAAAAGGTAAACGGGACTGGAATGCTGCTCCCTCAAGACCCGCCATAATTTCACGATGGGGATTGGGATCAACCTCACCTTTTTCGTCCTTGGCCGTTGCCTCCGTTTCTCGTTTTTTAACTTTCGGTTCAATTTTCGCTTCAGGCTTCTTCTCACTGTTTGAAGCATCCATTGAATTTGTCGGTTTCGTGTCGGAATATTCCACTTTGGGTTTTTTCCGTCGACTGATTCGCCGACCTTCCTCCCCATCTTTACCCTCTGTCTGGTTGGATCCAGGCCCAGTTCTTCTATTTCCCTTCGGAGTAAATTCAGTCATCTCGATGTCGGAATCATCGCTGATAATCGTGACCGTCTCAATCTCCAGCGCTGATGCATTATTCGATGGCCCCCCGCTGGTAGTGGCCCCAGCACCTGAACTTGCACTCATGATTCGGTCCTCTCTTGAGGGCTTCCGTGGTTGTGCGTTGAATGATGCAACTTCTTATTCTTACCGTTCAAAGTAGCTTCAAACTGCGAACTGTTTATGGCACCATTTCCGAAGGAACTGTATTTTTTCCTGTCTAGAAAATTCCCCTGTTGGAAAATGTGTTTAAAAATAGTAAAATTAATCCGAAAGATGCGGAAAAATAATACAAATAAGTACTTTTTCCTAAAAATTTTAATCCGGAGGGTACGCAAGGGATGCAGAACAGGCACAACAAAAAAATATGACAAGCGAACAACCGCGATGAAAAACTCGATAGATGTGTTGCAAAAACCATCGCATTTTATGTACCTTTTGAATCAGGGGTGCCAGATTGTTTCCAACGCTCCATAAAAAATATCAGGCGTAATATTTGAAAATGGCACAAAAACTTTTGTAACACAAAGCTGTAACTGAAGTACTATGTAAAATAAGGCATTTTACGAGACGTTTCGAGTCAGCTGTTTTTTTTCTTTCTGTTTACCTATTTTGAAGGTTACCAGTGGGCCGATTTGTTGACATACCACGACCAAAATCAAAACAAAAACATCAGACGTAAACAATAACAATGCCTCGAGCGCGTTCGAGTGGCCCGCCAGGAACTGTCATCAAGACGTCACGTAAAATAGCTTATAGTCGCTAAATTCATAGTCTGGCGGATAGAATCTCGGGAACTAATTGAGCTGTCTTGTCTTGACGACGTCTTCCTGCTGGAGCAACATTGTTCTCCATGAACTGACGATGAGGAATCTACAAAAACAAAAATACAACCTTTGAAATACAAGCCACAATGATTGCATACCACAAAAGTGGAACACTCACCGTATAGCAATATCCAGCAGAATGGTGAAGACATTCATAAATGTCATCAGCATCGATTGGAGGCAGGGTTCCTTCCATTCATTTTGGCTAAAAAAATGTTTTATAAAATTATGGAATAATAAGATATTATAATGATATTTTGTTTGTGTAAGCAACAAGAAAAGATTGTGGAGTTTGTGTTTGACACATAATACCAGCCAATGTTGCTGCATGAGAGTCACAATAAGTGATTTTGTCATTTATCTCACCCACTCTTCACTCTTAAGTCTTCGCGAAGAGGCGATCAGAAAATCGCTCATTGTGGCTCTGTCAAAGCTAAATTTGCAGGTTTTATGTGTCAAACACAAACTTTAAAAATTTGTCTTGTTCCTTACACATACAAAATACCATCATAATATCGTATTATTCCATAATTTCCTAGAACATTTTTTTAGTCATAATGAATGGAAGGCACCCTGATTGGAGGTAGTTTTCGTACACTGCACAGCAAAAAAAGTTGTTGAATATTACATCGAAACTGATGCAACCAGGTCAATCCATCGGTTGTGTAATATCACATTGTACGATGTACATCGATTTTGCGAACAAAATTACATCCATTGATGTAATATTGTATCTGCTTTTTGCTATTACATCATTATTTCATACATCAGCTTGAATTACGTTGATCGATATTACATTTTTTTTTGCTGTGTGATTCCACCGTAAAATGCTTTTTTTTTACTTCGTCTGGTCCACTCAAATTCAATTTTGGCGGCAAATAAAGTTGGGTTCAGAGCTTCAGTGCTGCCAAAAACTTTGCTATGAACAGGTATGTTTGACAGTTGAAAAACTTTTATAAACATAATGCATTTGTAAAATCACAACCCTAATAAAAAAATACCATACACGAACCACAGACAAACAGACGTAACTCTTCATTGTGTATCTTCGTTCACGCATTTAACGGTTGATTTGAATATTATCAGTTTCGCGAACTACTCGCCTCAGCGCTGGCATCGGATCACTTTGACGTTTCTATACATTCTATAGAATTTTAATGCAATATTGTTTGCGAGTTAAGGAGCAAGCTTGTTTTCCGTGAGAAGCCTGAGAGATGTCGTTACTGAGCTCGTTACTGAGGTCCTATGTTTTGAGATGCTATGTTTTCAAGAAAAACTTTTTCAAAGAGTTACGTCTGTTTGTCTGTGCACGAACGATAACCCAAATGATTGAACTATTCCATAAATCGTTTGGATGATACCCCGAACACGTCATTAAGCAAATTAACCATAACATTTTTATTAGGGAAGTCCAAAGTGAAAGAAAAACTTTTAAACCAAAGATATAACTTTCATTTTGAAAATTTTCACAGTTAAAACCTCGGTTAAAACAACGAAATTTGGGAAACTTTCATTTTGAAATTGCATTATTTTTATAGCAACAATTTTTGTTTTTTGTGTGTGTGTTATGTACACGTAGTACAATCAACAATCAATACGAAACTAACGATTTTAAATTGGCTGACTACTTGACTAGCCTATTGGTCCCAAGCAAACGATTAGCGTACCCGAGGTACCCCATACTAGTCGAAATGCTAGTACCAACAATCAATACGAAACTAACGATTTTAAATTGGCTCACCACTTTAGTAGCCTATTGGTCCCAAGCAAACGATTAACGTACCCTATTCTAGTCGAAATTCTAGTACTACGCAATGTTTGTTTTGATTCGCTATGAAAGTTTGACAGATAAAATGAGGGGTTATTGGTTTTTCCTATGTTTCGAGGGGTGAGTGAAATAGCTTGGGACCGAAGAGAGTACCAGGGTACCAGCATAGAGGTAACTCTAAGACCACTGGGTCCCGAAGAAAATCATTATTATTTTTGGCTCACTCAGTACCAGAACAACGGTCCCAAGCAGTCCCAAGCTATTTCACTCACCCCTGCATGTTCTGCATGAATCCACACACCCCTGATGTTATCTGTCAAACTTTCATAGCGAATCAAAACAAACATAGTGTAGTAATAGAATTTCAACTAGAATAGGGTACGTTAAACGTTTGCTTGGGACCAATAGGCTACTAAAGTGGTGAGCCAATTTAAAATCGTTAGTTTCGTATTGATTGTTGGTACCAGAGCTGTGCCAAAAAGTTGAGCACGTTTCTGCGGGACCTTCTAGTCTTAGAGTTACCACCACCCGAGTTTTTGAATTGCGGAACTCTTCGGAAAAATTTAAAAAATCTGTGAAAAATTCAAAGTTGAGAAAATGTGTTACGAAAATTTACAGACTAACTTCTGTCAACCCCGTGTAATGATGAAAAATAAAAATTTTCGATTTAATCCAATCTTTACGAATAACAGTCATTTGAATTTTAACCAAGTCAGTAATCCAAAAATCCAGTAAAAATACTAAAGGCCCAAGCGCAATGACAGCGGAAGCGGAACGGCAGCGGCAGCGGAAAAGCCCAATCTGAGTAAGCCTACATGTCGGATTGAAAACTAGTTAGATCCAAATCGGCATCGGTTAGGCTTCTTGATGTCATTTGTGACAACTGTCGAACTTTCCGTTTCCGTTCCGCTTCCGTCCACATTGCGTGTGGGCCTTAACTCTTGTAAAAAAATCTAAGTGTGTATACAAGAGCAGCGAAGCTCCACACTCCTCCATCGAAACAGCATCGCAGCTGAGCTGCGAGTGCTATGAAATAAAAAGGACATCGACTTATTACGAACGAATAGGGTGACTATAGCGCATTTTATGAAAACGTCACAAGTTTTTATGGCTGCTTTAATTCAATAATTACGAAGAAACCATAAAGCCTACAAGGTTACTATCAAAGGCACAAATCTAGGGAACTGCATGGAAAATGTTTTGTAAAACAACTAAACAAAGAGAGATAATAATAAGATGATAAGATTAAAAAATATACCTAACCAAAGTTGGCAATACAAAAAAACATAAAATGTTGAATAACTCACTTAGCAGTCATTTCCGACCCTATGTTTCATGGGGATTTTTTCATAACTTTAGGAGCCCTATCTACCCTGAAAATATGTAAAACCCGGAACCAAACACCCTGTATGTACCTCGCTTGGGACCAATGGCAAGTCAAGTAGTGAGCCAATTTTAAATCGTTAGTTTCGAATTGATTGTTGGTACAATGACATAAAACGAGTTTGAGGGTTTAGCTCAAGAAGCTCCTCAAAGTTTGCAATCACCAGTGGGTTCATAATTTCCCAATGGGTGAGGAGCCTGAGGGACAATTCCTAAAACCGATCAGAGAGTGACAACATGCCCGCCAACACTTCAAGACTCATCGTATGAGTCGAGTGCATGCATCCTAACGCGATATGAAGACAGCGATACCAACAATCAATACGAAACTAACGATTTTAAATTGGCTCACCACTTTAGTAGCCTATTGGTCCCAAGCAAACGATTAACGTACCCTATTCTAGTTGAAATTCTATTACTACACTATGTTTGTTTTGATTCGCTATGAAAGTTTGACAGATAACATCAGGGGTGTGTGGATTCATGCAGAACATGCAGGGGTGAGTGAAATAGCTTGGGACTGCTTGGGACCGTTGTTCTGGTACTGAGTGAGCCAAAAATAATAATGATTTTCTTCGGGACCCAGTGGTCTTAGAGTTACCTCTATGGCGATACTGGATCCGTTCCAGTTTGATGATGTACGTTTTAGCCCCCGACTGGAAGCAGAAACTACCGTACTCTAAAACCGATAAAATCGTTGTCGGGTACAACGTTAGAAGATCTTGCGGATGGGCTCCCCACCACGTTCCGGTAATTTTACGGAGAAAATTGATCCTTTGTTGGCATTTCCGCTTCAGATACTCAATGTGGGATCTCCAGGTGCATTTTGAATCGAACCAGACCCCAAGATATTTGAAGGACATAGAATCGGTTTACCCAAAAGTTGAAAAGTTGAGTTGAGCAAATCGATTAACGTACCCCATTCTAGTTGATATTCTAGTACTACACTATGTTTGTTTTTATTCGCTATGAAAGTTTTACAGATAAAATGAGGGGTTCGTGGATTTTCCTATGTTTCGAGGGGTGCATCGATTAGCTTGGTACCGAAGATAGTACATACATAGAGGTAACTCTAAGACTAGAAGGTCCCGAAATAACGTGCTCAACTTTTTGACTCAGCTCTGGCACTCTCTTCGGTCCCAAGCTAATCGATGCACCCCTCGAAACATAGGAAAGACCAGTAATCCCTCATTTTATCTGTCAAACTTTCATAGCGAATCAAAACAAACATTGCGTAGTACTAGAATTTCGACTAGAATCGGGTACGTTAATCGTTTGCTTGGGACCAATATGCTAGTCAAGTAGTGAACCAATTTAAAATCGTTAGTTTCATATTGATTGTTGGTACATACACTCATAAAATAATTCACATAACCAGTGGAAAATATCCATGTAAATTTCACATAACTTTCATGTGATCCCATTATTGGAAATTGCACCACTAAATCACATGAACTTTATGTGTCCAATGAAATCTATATGATTTCTCATATAGAATTTCTTATGCTACGTGATATTCAGATAAAAGTAATTATTTTTGTTATTGGAAAAATATTATGTGCGTTCCTAATAGAAACTAAGTGAAAACGTTTTTCAGTGTAGCTGAGCCAAAAAGTTCAGCACGTTTCTTCGGGCCACAGACTAGTTTGCACAGTTGAAAATTTGAATAGCTACGGACTCGGCTACGGATGTGATTGTCTTACGCAGTTTACTGCGGCTTTGAATTTCTGTTGCTTGCGAGCCATCGATTTGTAAACCATTTCGTGCTTCGATCCAGATACAAATGTCACGATGGTTCACCGTTTGCAACCGGGTGGCACCATTCCGGCCATATTCTGATCAGAACCATGAAGGACATTGTGGATATATGAAGCACCAGATTGATTGAAACTGCCAGCTGGACGGTGGATCGATTTGAAGAACGGCTGCAAGATACTCTATCCTTGGTAAATAGAGTAAATCTGGTTAGTCTGGCAGCTCCTCGACTGCAGTCTTTGAGTTGCTCGATCAAATCAAAACATTCAATCTATCAAAAATACCGGGTGCATTGTGCATTGATTGTCGATGACAAACATGCCATAATATTTACAAACAAATAAAGCCTGCTTGAAGACAGCCACTTTTGGCACAGTCGGTACATCTGTGGTACACCTGAGGCATACTGAGAAAAATAATGGTAAAATCTCTGGTAAAATACAAGTGTGCACACAGATGGAAATCTCCTTATACACAGCAAAAAAATATGTAATATCGATCAACGTAATTCAAGCTGATGTATGAAATAATGATGTAATACCAAAAAGCAGATACAATATTACATCAATCGATGTAATTTTGTTCGCAGAATCGATGTACATCGTGCAATGTGATATTACGCAACCGATGGATTGACCTGGTTGCAGCAGTTTCGATGTAATATTCAACAACTTTTTTTGCTGTGTACCTTTTGGCAAATTTCAATTGCTGATTATACATAAAATAATTCAACTAATAAGCAGACGCATTGCAAAAAGTTAATGAAGATCATGTCGACAGTGAGCATGCATAAGGGCCTATACGCGATGATCGATTCTCTTCATCGATTTTCTCTTTGCATTGCTACAGCTAAGCGCAACAATTTTGTAGAATTTATTCAATGTAGAGTTGTAACAGGTTGCATTCCCTAATAAAAATTGTATGGTTAATTTGCTTAACGACGTGTTCTGGGTATCATCCAAACCATTTGTGGAATAGTTCAATGATTTGGGTTATCGTTCGTTTATGGTTATTTTTTATTAGGGTTGGCTATCAAAAGCAACAGCAAACGCACCGACAAACGTTAAATCTAGCGAGTTATTAACAAAAGAGAAAATCGATGAAGAGAATCGATCATCGCGTATACGCCCTTATGAATGCTCACTGTCGATGTGTCAAATGAAATGTATAAGTGATCACACATACCTTTTATGCATTCTTATAGGACCTATGTGGTTTGTCTTATAGAATGTAAAAGCAACAATCAATACGAAACTAACGATTTTAAATTGGCTCACTACTTGACTAGCCTATTGGTCCCAAGCAAACGATTAACGTACTCCATTCTAGTCGAAATTCTAGTACTACGCAATGTTTGTTTTGATTTGCTATAAAAGTTTGACAGATAAAATGAGGGTGATGGCACACTAATCCAGCATTTAGTTGTTCGGTATTTTTTTGTACTGGGCTTACACGGTAAAACGAAAGATTTACTGAACATTCAGTTTAAATCAGGTGAATAACCGACGTTTTGCAAAACACAAACTGAACTTCGGTATCGTTTGATGCAAAATACTGAACACAGAATATTTATTTACTGAGAAAGTCGTTAATTTCCAAATTTTCGTGATTTCACGAAAAGTCAGCAAAAATAATTACTGTACCCAAAGTAGTCTTTATTTTTTTACCGACTGGTCAGCAAAATAGCCACCTTGTTTTACCGACCACGAATTGTAAAACTCTAACCTGTTAATTTTATTCCCGCCGCCATTTTAGCTTCAGTAAAATCCGGGAGCAAGTGTTTAATCGCGCGGTTTTGTTAAAATTTGAATTATATCATGACGGAACTGAGAAAGCTCGACAGCGAAATTGAAGAAATATTTCGTTAGTACCAACACGTTACTCTCTTTGCAGTTCCTTGGTATCCAACAAATTTTGATTAAGAAAATGCATGTTTGCATTGTTTGCTTTCACTGTCGACGCGCTATTCCGGGGTACGTCAAGGGATTAAGTCGTCATATTAATTGGCATATTATAAACGGTGAATTGCACCAGGATTCATGCTTTTATGACTGCAAATTCACTACTTTTAATATACCTGGGTAACACGGTATAATCATAGAGGTAACTCTAAGACCACTGGGTCCCGAAGAAAATCATTATTATTTTTGGCTCACTCAGTACCAGAACAACGGTCCCAAGCAGTCCCAAGCTATTTCACTCACCCCTGCATGTTCTGCATGAATCCACACACCCCTGATGTTATCTGTCAAACTTTCATAGCGAATCAAAACAAACATAGTGTAGTAATAGAATTTCAACTAGAATAGGGTACGTTAATCGTTTGCTTGGGACCAATAGGCTACTAAAGTGGTGAGTCAATTTAAAATCGTTAGTTTCGTATTGATTGTTGGTATAATTAAGGGACCAAATAACTGTCTTTTCAGTTAAATTGCAGCAAAATAAACAAAAAGAAAATACTGGGTTTTCCAGTATACGCAACTCGAACCAATTACTGAATGAACAGTTATTTTTGACAGATTGACTTTACGGACAGTTCGGTAATGCAAATTATTTTTGTGATGACTACTGGGCGATCCGCAATTCAAAAACCCAGTAAAATTTTACTGACTCCAGTAATCTAAAGTTAGTGTGGGCGCACGGGCGGGATCCCTACGTTGTGTTTTTGTGATACGGATTGATTAATAATAAAGAACACCGATTGTTTTGCCGTCCTGCCATGGCGGAGGCATACGAAACACTGTTGTATAGTTTATTTGTATTGCTCGTTACAGCGGGTAGGGTAGTTATACATATAACTGACGTTGCACAAACATACTCCTCCCCAAAACGAACTGTTTTCTATTAACTAGTCGTATATACATATAATGGTAAAATACTATTTCTGATAACACAAAGATAACAGTGAAACAAAACACGATACTGCTGAAGAATCCGACATACGCACTCGCCCTTGTACAGTGAGTATGTTTCCTGACCAGAACTCTCGTAGTTCCCGGTGAGCCAGGAACGTACATAATCTGCCAGATGGCTACCTGAGGGCCACACCATCGTAGCGGGAAGTGAAACGGGATTCTTTGAGTCGATGTCGCTATTCACTGCTGCATCTTCATCATCGTCCTCGGTGTCGTCACAATTGTTGGATGGTTGTGCACTATCTTTTGTAGTTTGCCCGTCGGTATCAAGTGGTTGGTCACGGCACCATATGATCGCGCACGGGCGGGATCCCTACGTTGTGTTTTTGTGATACGGATTGATTAATAATAAAGAACACCGATTGTTTTGCCGTCCTGCCATGGCGGAGGCATACGAGACACTGTTGTATAGTTTATTTGTATTGCTCGTTACAGCGGGTAGGGTAGTTATACATATAACTGACGTTGCACAAACAGAGGGGTTATTGGTTTTTCCTATGTTTCGAGGCGTGAATCGATTAGCTTGGGACCGAAGAGAGTACCAGAGCTGAGCCAAAAAGTTGAGCACGTTATATCCGGACCTTCTAGTCTTTGAGTTACCTCTATGGTATAAGCACAGACAAACAGACATAACACATTGAATATTTCTCACTTTAAAACATCGTCGCTAAAACATTACCGCCATCTGTTGAATACACAATGGTGGGTAGTACGCTGAACAGATGGCGGTAGTGTGTAAACGTCAAACGCAAGAGAATTTACTATGCGCGCCACAGGTGGCGGTACTACCAACTACGATACTTTTAAATCGACCGTTAAATGCTTGTTCGATGAACAACTTGCGAGTGTTATGTCTGTTTGTCTGTGGTATAAGCATAGAGGTAACTCTAAGACCAGAAGGTCCCGAAGAAACGTGCCCAACTTTTTGGTTCAGCTCTGGTACTCTCTTCGGTCCCAAGCTAATCGATTCACCCCTCGAAACATAGACAAAATCACTAACCCCTCATTTTATCTGTCAAACTTTCATAGCGAATCAAAACAAACATAGTGTAGTACTAGAATTTCGACTAGAATGGAGTACGTTAATCGTTTGCTTGGGACCAATAGGCTAGTCAAGTAGTGAGACAATTTAAAATCGTTAGTTTCGTATTGATTGTTGGTATAAGGCTGATGTTTTGGCAAAAATGTATAAGTGAAACACATGAATAAAATAATTGATTTTCGTTTCGGGTAGAGTGCCCCCCCTTGATACGGTATGAAATGCATGATATTAGGCCTTTTTGCTTTGTTTGGCATGCGGTGTTTTTTGAATGAGTTTATCAACACGCTTTATGTAGAAACAACATCGAAATTGAACGCCTCGAGAACTGAACGGAATGTTTACCATTTTTTAACGAAATGCGGCCCGATTTGACAACCGGTTGACGGTAAAGCAGAGCGGCAATCGGCAATCTGCTTTATCAGCCACGTTGGAACGTATGACAGAAATAAAAAGAAAAAATCGGTCGATTCGATTTGCTTACTCGAACTTTGTGTAATTGTGCCGTAAAAAAAGTGAATTTTCGTGTGATTTTTACAAAATTGGATCGCATCTGCTACTGAAGGTAGGAAATAAGCCTGCAAATGGCGAGCATTGAGTGTTATTCATTGGAAAAAATGGAGGAATCAATGCATTTTGTCGAGCAAAAATATTTTCATTGATTCTGTTTTCGCATTCAGCCAAGTCATCAAATTCAATCTGTGTTGTAAATCAGTGGGTTACATCTATTTTTAGTGCCAAAAACTCTAAAAAGAATAATACCTAATCAATGTTTCCACATCTTGCATCCTAAAAGTATCTATACTCAATACAATTCAGGAAACCGTTTTTAAAAGCAATGTAGTTTGGTTTAGCTTGTAGTATACCGAGGTTTATTGACCTAGAAAACATGCAAGAAGAAAAATAATATGAAAAAGAAAACCACCGGCTCTTATCGGTGGTATCAAGTGATATGAAAGAAGTTAACAGGAACAACTTTTATGTTTGATTACAGCATCCAAAATGAAGATTAAGGAGCTCCAGAAAACGGTAAACGTGGCATGGTCCCCGGTTCAGCAAACCCCCATTATGCTGGCTGCTGGAACAGCAGCTCAGCAGTTGGATTCCTCTTTCAGCACCTCGGCCGCTTTGGAGTTGTACTCGATCAACCTATCGGATCCGAGTTATGATTTGGAATTAGTTGGGAGTCAGACTAGCTCTCATCGATTCCACAAGGTGCTATGGAGTCCGTTCGATTATGGTGAAAATCACCCCAACGGTCTAATTGTTGGAGGATGCGAAAGTGGAATTATTCAAGTGTATAGTGCAGCAAAACTGCTGGAAGGTGAAAATGGCCTGATTGCTCAGCAGGATAAACATAACGGTGCTGTTCGAAGCATGGACTACAATCCATTCCAACACAATTTGCTAGCGTCGGGTGCATCAGAATCGGAAATATTCATTTGGGATCTAAACAACACTACTATGCCAATGAGTCCCGGTCAAAAAATTCAACCATACGAGGACATTCAAGGTCTAGCGTGGAACCGTCAGGTTCAGCATATTCTTGCTTCCGTGTTTCCCTCTCGATGTGTGATTTGGGATTTGAGGAAGAACGAACCCATTATTAAGCTGAGTGATACACAGACACGGGTTCGCTGGCGAGCTGTCCAGTGGCATCCGGAGGTCGCCACCCAACTCTGGATGGCCAGTGAAGAGGACCAGGCTCCGTCGATACAATTGTGGGATTTGCGTTATGCCACTGCACCAGCTAAAAGTTTCCATATTCATCAGCGTGGAGTGCTTGGGCTTACCTGGTGTTCAAAAGATTTCGATCTAGTTGCTTCCTGTGGCAAAGATAATAAGATTTACTGCTGGAATCAAAATTCAGAGGATCCGGTAAGTCGGATGGATGCAGTAAACGTTAGTTTGTGTATAATTTTGTTACGTTTCATGTTTCTTAGAACGGCGAAATTCTTTCCGAGCTGGCAACAACGAACCAGTGGAACTTTGACGTTGCATGGTGTCCTCGAAATCCGGCGTTGATCGCAGGATCTAGCTTCGATGGCAATGTAACAGTCTATTCGATATTTGGCGGTGTTCATCAGCAAGTGCAGACCGTGAATAAAATAGCCGACTCGTTTCCAGGAATGGAGAGCATTGGGCACGAACCGGTTCATCAGTTGACCGCCCAAGTCCAGCCTACGTGTAATGATCTCAAGCGGGCACCTAAATGGCTGAAGCGACCCGCTGGTGCTTGCTTCGGTGTATGTTCAACAGCTTGATTGTTTAAATGGTACATCTTTCATGTAACTGCTTACCTATTTCAGTTCGGTGGTAAGCTGATCACTTTCAATGGAACCAATCGATGGATTACGGTAAATCAAGTGATAACCGATCCTGAGCTAGTGGACCGCTCAAACAGGCTAGAGCAGGTCCTAGCTGAGGGTAGTTTTGCCGATTATTGCCGCCAGAAGGCAGATCAGACAAACGATCAACATTCGCGCTTCCTGTGGTACTTTTTGAAGGCAAATTTTGAGGAGAATCCACATGCTGAGATGCTCAATCTACTGGGTGAGTAGACGAATTTGCGATGATTAGAGGGTGACTCTAAGAAACGCTTCATTCTTATTTTAGGCTACCATGCTGAGGATATTGTCAACAAGTTTAAGAAATATACAGACAGTAGCAAGGAAACTATGACTCCACCGGCAGAACCAGTCAACCCGGTCGATAGTTTGACTGATCAAATGGCGGGACTGAGTAGGGTGAGTTTCATTTAAAGGTCTTCCTTGAATTGAACCTCTTGTTTGTAACGGTTTGTTTTACTTGAATGCTTTTGGTTCCCAATTGGCTGCAAATTTCAATCCTTTCTTTTTGATTTTGTGCGTGGTCTTGGTGGAATAAGATCGATATTCTGTCGATGTTATTTGTTGACCATCGAGAATAGGGCATAATTATCTTCTGCTTTATCAGTTCCGTCGTTTCAGTTCTCAAATTCTTTGTACATAATTTCATACGAAACCATAACTTTACTTTGCTTGAACTGAAATTGCAACCTGTGGCGTTTTCCATATTTTGTGATAGAATAATTCCACCGAGACGGATCCAAGCACCGACGATAGCACTGATCTCTCGGTAAGACGAGTCACACTTTCAATTAGAGGAAAATATTTTATCCATGGAGTAGAACAACAATATTGAACTCATTCTACTACTATTACTACCACTACTATTACCAGTAGATGCATCAGCAAAAAATGCTTTGAATATGCTTTCATTGTTCGTTTGATATTGCAATCAGCAAATGCGTTGTTCCTATTGAACAGTCAATGATCGTGACGCAAATTACTCAGTAGATTTGAATGTTCGAATAAGTAGAATTTACTCTTGCTCGACGTGGCAATACTAACCGAAATCCATCCCCCGCGCACATACAGACAATGGATAACAATGCTGTCTTCGATGCCATCGCTGCCGGTAACAAAATGTTGAACGACCCGAATTCCTCGACCGAGGTGGAGCCGAAAAGTGATGAAACCGAGAAGAAAACCTACTGTCCCTACCGAATTCGCACCGGTCAAGATAGTGAGGGTTTGATCTGTGAGGCTCTGCTGACCGGAAACTTGGAGGCAGCCGTTGAACTTTGCATGAACGCCGGCAAGACCACCGAAGCGCTAATTCTGGCTATGAATGGTACACAAGTTGGTATAATACCGTTGTCTGTTTCTAATATATGCTTTCTGTTTTCAGGCGGGTCTGAACTGTTGGCACGAGTGCAGTTACGTTACTTGAAGAATAGCGAAAGTTATCTAGCGAACATCATCTCGGCCCTCGTGACGGAAGATTGGAGTGGTGTCGTTACGCAATGCACGATCGACTCCTGGAAGGAAGCATTAGTGGCGGCCCTGACGCATTGCAAGAATCAGTTGCCTTTGCTTTGTGAGAGGCTCGGAGAACGACTGCAGATTGAAGCTGGAACGGACACTGAATTGGCTCGGAATGCAATTTTCTGCTACATTTGCGCGGGAAGCACTGAAAGGCTGGTGGAAGCTTGGAATCTCCAAAAGCCGAACAATGCATTGACTGATTTCGTAAACGGAGAACCTGACAAGAACAACAACAGTAACCGGGACCTACAGGAACTGGTAGAAGTAGCAATGCTGCTTCAAAAGGCTCTGGAAAAGCAAGGAAGAGCAACAAACGTCACCGGAAAGTTAGCCGATCTTTTGTCGCAGTATGCTAGTTTGTTAGCAGCACAGGGCTCGTTGAATTCGGCTTTGACTTACGTTGGCAATTCCACGGATCCTGGAATGGAAGATTTGAGAGACCGTCTATATTACGCCCTAGGGCACAAGAGCAATGTGCCAGTTCAGCAAAATAATTATTACGCTACGGGACAACGTGGTTCTGTAAGCAATCAACAGCCACCAACTTTTAACCCAATGTTCCCAACTGTTGGTCAAGCTGCCAAAATGAAGGGTTGGCAATCAACTAATGCAGCTCCAGTTGCTGCCCCAGCTCCGGTTCCTACCATCCCTCAACCAATGAATCAGACATCTTGGAATACAAGCCCGTTCCAAAGCGGACATCCTCCACAACAGTCTCCTGTGGTTTCTCAATTCGCTCCGGTTGCCCCACTGACTGCAGCACCCCCCGTAACAAGCAAACCTCCAATGGGACCTCCACCGACAACAGACCCATTGCTACCACCTCGTCCATCATCTGTAAACTCCCAATCGGGATCTACTCCACTAACTCGAGCCAAATATGTTCTTGATCCTTCGGTAACGTCCGGTCCATCATACGGCCAAACATCTGCCAATCTGTACAACCCAAATGCTTTCCAATCATCTCCCTCATCACAGTTTAATCAATTCAACACTCAATCAATCAACCAACAGCCCCAAGCATCGCTATATAATCCCCCGCAGCAAGCTCAGCACACCAACAACTTCAAGCCCTTCACTCCGGCTCCTCTGGTACAACCGGGCGCATCTCCGTACATCCCTGGAGTTTCGCCATTGGACGTTTCGGCACCGCCCACAGCGTCGATGGCTCCACCACCAATGGGCAACTATCAGAAAAATCCAACTCCCCCTCCTGGTTGGAACGATCCACCTGCCCTGAAGAGCAATACCCGATCACAGGTAAGCAGACATTTAATACCACATCCCCCGGATATCACTCAACTTCTCTATTACTTTGATTTTCTCTCTATCTTCTCTTTCACCTAATGTGTATTAAATATTCTTTTGTTCGTTTCGTTGTTGATCACCACTGCCTTGTGACTTCACCCGTATTAATAGTTATGTGATCAATATGAAATGTCGGCGGTCCACGCCGGTACCCGTAGATGGCGTAAAATCATTGATTCACACGATCACTCGAATCGATCTTCGCCGCAGGTTAGAGCAAAACGTCTTTGCATATAGCAGTTGTTTTTTTCTCTCTCTTACTCTATACTGCCGCTATTCGCATAACAGTTCCATGTCCTGTAGATTTCCTATCCATATGGGACTGTCATGCGAATAGCGGCAGTATATTCCCCTAATATTTTTCATGTTTTACTTCCTTTTTATGCTCCTGTTTGTTCATAGTGTTTTTTGTTAGTTATTTTTAATTGCTTTTATCGACATGATCTTATAAATAAAATCCAAGGCCTATACAATTTGCAGAAGGACACAACATTGGAATAGATGCCTACGCCATACAACTTATGATTAAAATTGATGAGTTTAACTAACAGTATTTTTTTTATTCGTTCATTGTTGTAGAAATCATCCTGCTATAAATTTGAGGTTCAGATTATGAAATATAATTAATGCCTTCAAGTGTTCAATTGTTTCGGAAGATCAACTTGTTAGCTTTTATTTTTAACATACTAGTGGTAAGAGGGGCATAATGAGTATCCTGCACTTGAGCCTTGAATTTATAATTGTTCAAAACAAATTAATTGGAAGTAGGTTCACTATAGTGCTTTATGCCAAGTGCCAATTAGTGAAAACTTTTTTAGGCGGCGTCAATAAATTACGTAACGCCTATTGGAAGGGGGTCACCTAAAGCGTTACGAATTGTTACATAGGGGAAGGGGGGAGTAAAGATTTGCAATATAGGCAAAAAACTATGATTTTTTGGACCACCCTAACTCAGAAAGGTGCACCCTTATGCCGAAAAAAAAATACGGGTCTAAAGTTTTCAGAAAAGGAACAAGTACACAAAATTTGAACAAAATCGGAGCATTTTTGAAAATCAATAGTACCTTTTCACGTGAAATTGCTGATAAACGAATATTATTCAACTGGATTGATCTCACCAAATCAATCCATAATCGTTGTCCGGGACCCGGGTGTGATTTCCAGAAGCTTTCACGCATACTTTCCTCTAGTCAATTCTATAGCTGCACTATTATTAGACATGATTAACATTTTCATTTTTGCTTGCTTTTGATCACCAATTCCGATCATCAGCCGGAGATCAGTCAAAGGCTAAGTTAAAACACTGCATGCTCGAACGTGTTTTTTTGTTGTTTTTTTTTTATTCGTTTTCGAACATAAAATCGGTGAACCAAAGCCTGGCTCACGCTCATCGCACCAATCGAACAAAAAATCACGCACAATCATGGTCATATAGGGTAACAAAGTCTTGTATTCCTCACGCCAAGCAATATCAGAACAAAACATTTGCCATCATTTCAGGCATAACATTTGTTAACGGCACAAAAGCATTTGTAAACAAACTTTCTAAGGCCCTTTACACGTGAACCAAAGTACACCCACGCAAACCAACAACAACATCGGATAGGGGCAACTATCACCTTTTCGAAAGTGGTATTGGTTTGCGTGGGCGTACTTTGGTTCGCGTGTAAAGGGCCTTAGAAAGTTTGTTTACAAATGCTTTTGTGCCGTTATCAAATGTTATGCCTGATTTATTCAAATAAATTAAAAAACTCGCAGGCGATAGTGCGGACTCACTCAATGTGCTTGTCAACTTGGAGCCATTGTGAACTATCAGCCAAACATTCAGAAGCCACAAATGTAGTACTGTTCTTATATATCATCAAGTATTATCATCTCATAGAAATTAATATCACTTTCTCGAAACACAATTTAAGACTAGTAGGTCCCGAAAAAACGTGCTCAACTTTTTGGCTCAGCTCTGGTACTCTCTTCGGTCCCAAGCTAATCGATGGACCCCTCGAAACATAGGAGAATCCACGAACCCCTCATTTTATCTGTCAAACTTTCATAGCGAATCAAAACAAACATCGTGTAGTACTAGATTTTCGACTAGAATGGGGTACGTTAATCGATTTGCTTGGGACCAATAGGCTAGTCAAGTTGTGAGCCAATTTAAAATCGTTAGTTTCCAACCTTGCTACACGCAAGGAGTAGCGCTTCAACCCAGTGTAGATGAATTGCGTTCGTTTTGAATATCTTCGCTGTGAAGTACGAGCGAAACGAACAAATGAGTTCATTAAACATCAACGAATACGCGTTTGTTGATATTCACCACTGCTTGATTATCCGACCCGAAATTGTCAAAATCAGAAGCGTGTGTGTGTGTCCTATCCCTCACCCAGCCGGGGGCGTTGGACAAGTAGAACTGCGAATAATTTGATCAAATCTCATGCTCCGTAATGGTGGTATTTTGTGAAGACTAGTACTTCAAAAAGGGTAACTTTTGAGGCAAGACAGGGTGTCCTCAACAAGTTAAGGGAACAGGATGCACTAGATGTCCACAACAGGTACAGCAAAACATCACATAGACACCCTTATTCACACTAAGTACTCAGGGGGTAGAAGGTCAAGAAAAACCACCGCCGCCAACTAAAGCTTGAATCGATTACCTGGGACTATCACGATATACCCGCGGCAATGGTCAGCAGACGATGCCCTGTGCGTATTTAGTATGTAATATGTTTTATTTGGATACACAAAATGTTTGAAGCCATGAGTCATCTAAACCATAATTTGCATCACCACAAATACACTTGTCAACAATCTTCAACTGGAACGTACTCACCAAATCACTTCACGCGGGAGCGCATTCCCGATGCTTCCACGCATATTTTTCTCTAGTCATCCCTAAACAATTCTTCATCCAGCGACTCCAACCACACAACAACCAAATATCACTTTTCTTCGCTTTTCTTTTTCAAGTCACTCCGTGCACAAAAGCAATGCACATCGCAAAACCCTAACAATAGATCAACGCCATTCTCATCACCGCGTAAATAAACTGAAATTAAAATTTTCACTCGCGATGCCACAAATTTCTGGTCTGGGTGAAAAAATCAAACCACGCAGATAGCGCCAAATCTTCTTATGCTTGCAATTTTGCAAACATGATGAATCATGTTTTCTTTCTCGATTCTAAAACTTCTCGGAAAGCGAGAAAACCACCACTCACACACGTATAACCGTCCGGGAGGCAGAGTGCCAGCGCTAATCTGGCAAATGCAGCCGAAAACTATGAAAGCGAATGCACGCACAAAACAGAGAACAAACTTAAAACACGACCGTATCCAAAGGCGTACGTAACTCGACTCCGAAATTGTCAAAATCAGAAGCGATCCTCAAAAGCAAAATAATCAAACTCATTTTGCGCAAAATGATTATTTTGAATATTGTCGAATTCACAGCCTTATAGCATAGAGGTAACTCTAAGACCACTGGGTCCCGAAGAAAATCATTATTATTTTTGGCTCACTCAGTACCAGAACAACGGTCCCAAGCAGTCCCAAGCTATTTCACTCACCCCTGCATGTTCTGCATGAATCCACTCCCCTGATGTTATCTGTCAAACTTTCATAGCGAATCAAAACAAACATAGTGTAGTAATAGAATTTCAACTAGAATAGGGTACGTTAATCGTTAAGTTTTTGTGCCGTTATCAAATGTTACACCTGAAATTTACCGAACACCAAAACAAAATCTTAGTGTGTGCCTAAAGCTGGGTTTAGACAGGGCAAGTCAATTGATCAAGTCAGTTGAATTCAACTGACTTGAACGCGAATTTAACGTGTAAACCATGTCATTCAACTGACTGGATCAACTCACTTGAATTGAAAAAAGTTGAACTTTTCAAGCCAATTGAATTCAACTGAGTTGATCATTTGACTTGCTTAGTCTAAACCCAACTTAAGTGTAAAGCAGCAGATAAGAGAAGAAAGACACAGTGTACATGCTATTTCAAAATTACCCAAATTTGGGTAGAATCCACCCACATCCGTCAAAACTGAATCTACCCAAAAATGGGTAAACTATGTTTGGAGTGACAAGTTGACAAATGAACAAAGTCGACCGGATTCATGTCGATGTTGTCCATTTGTCAACTTGTCACTCCCAACATAGTTTACTCATTTTTGGGTAGATTCAGTTTTGATCGGTCTGGGTGGATTCTACCCAAATATGGGTAGTTTTGAGATAGCGTGTAGCCTTTACACCGACACAAAAAGCGAAAGATCGATCTAAGATCGCCCAATCCTAGTGGAAATGTAAACAACAATCGAATTATAAATTTAATTTAAAGTATTTGCAAGTCATCCTATTCTTAAATTGTTGTCCTGTATGCGCTGTATGTTTCACTGTCATTTTTCGAATAAATATCCTTTATCTGGATGACATTCATGCATGCTCGTCAGCTGTTGACGAATTCAACCATAGAAATTCGAAAGCATATTGTTAAAGGGCTCGAGCAATGCAATAATCATTCGAATTATTGTGGATGTTTTCGGTCAGTGTATGCATGCTATCGTGGTAAGCAAAGACGAACAATAAAACTAAGGCTGTGAACCATTTGCCGAGTTAAATTTAACTCGTGGTTAAAAGTGACATTTCGAAAGTTATTTCTTATGTTCGAAAATCCCCGTGCTGTCGATCGACCGGTTTTCGAGCCACGGTCGTCAAAATTTAACTTCTTGTCTGTCAGAAGTAACCACGCTCGGATAGCAGGGTTAATCGATAACTTTTCATCTGTCAAATTTTAACCAAAAGTTAAAATAATCCACCAAATGGTTCAGAGCCTAAGAAGACATATAGCTGCTTGTTGTCATTCTCGAGTTGTTCGAAAAGCTCGTGGCGATAGTGTTCGCGCTCTCTCTTTCGCGGTTTTTTTTTGTGTGCGTGCCCCGAAATGGGGAAGCATC